GCTGGGGCTGTTCAGCCTGGAGAAGAGAAGGCTCCAGGGTGACCTTAGAGCAGCTGCCAGTGCCTGGAGGGGCTGCAGGAAGGATGGAGAGGGGCTTTGCACAAGGGGGTGCAGTGATAGGACAAGGGGGAACGGCTCTAAACTAACAGAGGGCAGATTTAGATGAGATACTGGGAAGAAATTCTTCCCCATGAAGGTGCTGAGGCCCTGGCCCAGGTTGCCCAGAGAAGCTGTGGCTGCCCCCTCCCTGGCACGGCTCAAGGCCAGGTTGGATGGAGCTCTGAGCACCCTGGTCTGGTGGAAGGGGTCCCTGCTGATGGCAGGGGGGGGGGAACCAGATGATCTTTGAGGTCCCTTCCAACCCAAACCATTCCCTGATTCTATGCATGAATCAGGCTATCGCTGCTGCAGGCGTATTTGTAAAGCCCTACATTTATCACAGTTAAACGTTTTGTAATCTTGAAAGTTTAAAATTAACTATACTAGGTTTAGTGAAACAAAGAAACAGGATTTGGAGTAATGTGTTATTGTTTGGTGAGAAGGATGTGCCTGTCCAAAGTGGAGCCAGCGAGTGATGGATCGTAGGAACAGCTAACGAGCCATGACAAGCTGCCGAGATTGACTTTGCCTTCGTGACCTGTGTTTTGGCATTTGTCAGGGGAGATGGCGACCACCGGCTCCTGGACCACCTACCCCGGTTATACCCCAGGCTCAAAGGACGAAGAAACTGAGCATGCATACTAATTTACATGCTGGACGAAGAGACTTTAACCAATCATCTAATAGAATAACCATGTATTAGGAAGATGAACATGGTAATGTTGAGTGTATAAATAACTGTTGATTTGTGAATGAGGGGTGCTGGCTCGGGATAGACACGCCTGTCTGCGCTGGTACACAACAAAATACCTCTGCTCTGTGTGTGTATTGGCGTCCTGCACGCCGGGTAAACGAACCCAAATTTTGGGGACGAGAATCATTATGCAGTGGCTTGCAGCCCCCAGGGCTTAGCTACCCGCTACGAGTGAACCGGCCCGGGGTTCCTCGGTGAGACCGCGGTTTGGGTCGTTGCCATGTGTGGAGCTGAGAGCCTTCGCCAATCGTTCTGCTTTTCCCGCGACGAAAGGCAGGCAGCTTTCTGCAAGTCCAAGTGTCAGACGGTTCCTCACCTTGCTTCCGTCTGCAGCAGCGCCTTCCCACAACTGCCATCGTCCCCCCTTCAGCCGCTGTGAAAAGGTTTTGCTGACCATGACGCTGTTTTCTGAGGGAACATGTACTGTGTGTTCGACAACCAATAAATGTAATAAGTCATATTCTATTATTAGGCCAAAAATCCCGGTTCCTTAGCTAGTGGCACTGTCAGGAAGATCGTGTCTCCCACAGAGCTCAGTTAAGCTGTGTAACTATCACTGCAGAATTTGGCTTTGCTCTCCATAAGGCTTTTTCTGGCTGATATTTTCTCCAGCTCAAATTGACAGAAGCCAAATGGATACCTTTTACAGCATTTTTGAGTGTTTGTATTTAAAAAGAGCTTTCGTTCCATGTTGGAATTGCACAACTGTGAAAAATCTCAAAGGTGGGAAAAGGACAAAATTCAACCTGAAAATCATCCCCCAGCCTGGCCAGGTTGTGCGTCGGGGGCTTTGCAGGATTGCAGAGTCAGGATTGAACCACCTGAAAGCCAGAAAAACTGTACTACCGTAACAGTCTGCCTGTGTGGAGGGGCTTATTTGTGGAAGAGCTTATTTTGGGGGTTTGTTTTCACACTTTCTCCGTGCTAAATACATTTCAAATTACTTCTTTAACCTTCTTTCCACAAAGCGCTGAAGTTAGGAGACTTCATTCCTCAATTACAATCCACACAGAAAGTAGGTTATACAATGCCAGCGTGCTTTTTTGTAACTGTGAAGACAGAAGTTGGCAAGTGACAGTTACTGCAGTTTCCTATGCGCTCGAGCAGATCCACGAAGCCAGCTGCGGATCAAGGGCTGCCCCGAGAGACCCAAGGAAACGCGGCAGAGGGGACGGACGAGGCAATTCAACGGCGCCTGCGGTCAGCGGGAGCGATCCAGCCAGTGCTTCCCTCCTGTCCCCGGGTCGGAGCCTTGCAGGATGCCCTCGGTGGGGCTCTGGTCACGGATGTCAGAGGAGGCCGGGATCGGTCCTTTAGGGGTGTGGGCTGAGATTTTCAAAGACAGACACCCAGCTCCCGTTCATCCAGTCAATACGCGCAGTGAGGAAAAACATCACCCTCAGAGGGAAGAAGTTCCTCCTCATGTTCAGACGGAACTTCCTGTGCCTCAGTTTGTGCCCATTGCCCCTTGTCCTGTCACTGGGCACCATTGAAAAGAGCTTGGCCCCATCCTCCTGACACCCACCCTTCAGATATTTGTAGGCATTTATAAGGTCCCCTCGCAGCCTTCTCTTCTTCAGGCTGAACAAGCCCAGTTCCCTCAACCTCTCCTCGTAGTGGAGATGCTCCAGTCCCCTCACCATCCTTGTAGCCCTCCGCTGGACTCTCTCCAGTAGCTCTTCATCCTTCTTGAACTGGGGAGCCCAGAACTGGACACAGTACTCCAGATGAGGCCTCACCAGGGTAGTGTAGAGGGGAAGGAGAACCTCCCTTGTCCTGCTGGCCACACTCTTCTTGATGCACCCCAGGATCCCATTGGCTTTCTTGGCAGCCAGGGCACACTGCTGGCTCATGGTTAACCTGTCGTCCACCAGGACACCCAGGTCCCTCTCCGCAGAGCTGCTCTCCAGCAGGTCCACCCCAAGCCTGTACTGGTGCATGAGGTTGTTCCTCCCCAGGTGCAGGACCCTGCACTTGCCCTTGTTGAACCTCATCAGGTTCCTCTCTGCCCAGCTTTCCAGCCTATCCAGGTCACGCTGAATGGCAGCACAGCCTTCCGGTGTGTCTACCACACCTCCCCGTTTGGTGTCGTCAGCAAACTTGCTGAGGGTACATTCTAACTCTTCATCTAGGTCGTTGATGAAGAAGTTAAACAAGACTGGGCCCAGTACTGACCCCTGAGGGACACCACTTGTCACCAGCCTCCAACTAGACTCAGCGCCGCTGATGACAACCCTCTGAGTTCTGCCATTCAGCCAGTTCTCTATCCACTTCACCGACCACTCATCCAGCCCACACTTCCTCAGCTTCCCCAGGAGGATATCATGGGAGACTGCTATCACGTTTGCTATCTTTTTTTTTTTTTTTTTTTTTTTCTCTTCTCCTTTAAGCAGCTTTCATCGAGTACCTGACTGACTGGAGTCATTGCTGTATTATTCCTGTGGCTCATTTCTAGCTGACTCGAATAGCGTTTAGCACAGGCAGGTCCCCGTTTCTCACCAGGGACAGTATCTGCTGGCAAGCCCCAGGTATCAGGACACGGAATTACAGACTGAGAGTCCTACCGGAGTAGACAGCATCTGTTCAGTAAACTCTGCATTTGGGTACAGCAGCACAGGGAATAATAACTATGGTGCAGTAGCACTGACTGTTGGGTTTTGTTTGTTTTCCTCTGGCAGAAAATGCATTTTGAGAAGGTCTCGTTCTTCTTTCAGCCCCTCTGAGAGCGTGCATCCTTCTTCACAGGGTGTTACCTGAACTTTAGGACTCTCCTTTGAATTCCTCATGCTGGTGGTTTGTTGCCTATTTCTGCAACTGGAAGCAAGTAAAAGACTGAGAAGCTAGAAAACATTTTACAGGGTGTCATCAGACACTTCTCCCTCCTAATTAGCACCACTAAAATAGCCATGTTACATTGCTGATACAAACATTAGAAAAAAACTAAGCCACCTGGAACCAAATCCTCCGTTAAGTAATTCAATGTGAGGGAATAAAAGTGCTCATAAGCAACCAAGTGCTCCTCAGCTGCCTGGGACTGTGCATCCTGCTGATCTTCTCCAAAAGAAGGGAAGAGGCTGGTGGCAGCTGAACAGGCCGATCGCAGACGAATGGGCCACTAACGGGGAATCCTCCGATGCCTTCCTTACTGCAAAGGGAGGAGGCATCAGGCCTCCTGTGCTAGACAAGAGGCTCTGACCTTGGTCTGCTCTGATTATTATTTTGGATGAGAAAGCAGCAGCCGCTGCCAGCAGCCTGAAGCTAGCGCACGAGTGTTTGGGCAGGATGCAAGACCTGGAAGTCACAATAGCGCAGCAATGAAAAGCTCTGTCAGGAAAGGGACAAGCCAGGAGTTAAAGTATTTAAGGTACAGAAAGTACCAAAGTGAACCTGACCGCTTTATTTTTTAGCTGGGATAGAGCAGTATGCTTTCTAATGTGTGGAATCAACTAGGATTAAAGTGAAGGCCCCTGGGTATTTCAGATAGAGCCAAAGTCTGTGATTTGATCTCTTCTGTGTTCATGAGCTGGATGAACTGCGAGGTCCTAATTTAGCTGTAGCAAATACCAGCAGCTGATGAGTTTCTCCTAAAACCTCCTAAAGTTTAGGAAACTATTCTGATGACTGGAACAAGATTTTTTAAAGGCTGAGCATATGGAAACCTGGGAGAAAAGAAAAAAAAAAAACTACAGTAAAAACTTATCCTGTCTACATCTGTTACTGTTACCTGTGCTGCAGCGGAGACTGAAGACCCTAAGGAGCATCACAGCCCTGCTGTCCCTTTTACTGTGCATTTGCACTGCACAAGTATGAAATAAAGACACTGTATTTTCAGCATTTTTTTGTACAGTGTGTTACAGTCACACTGGAAAGTAGAGGCGAGACCACACAGGTGAGCTACAGCTAGTAGTCTCCCCTGGCCTTTCCTGGCACGGTGAGCCAGCGTTAGCCCTTAGCAGCACACCAGCCATGCTCCGCCGCAGTCAGCAGTTGTGCTCAGTTTGTATCCAAGGTCTCAGCAGGCAGGAAAGCTCCTTGGGTGCAGGGGAGAGCTGAGACAGGTCCAGTGATGGGAGAAGGAAATAAATCAATTGTGAGCAAAATAAACAGGAGAATGAGCAGCCTGGACTGAGCAGCCGATATTCACAGATACTTCCACCCTAAATCCCCGAATCTCTGTCGCCTTTTCTTGTCTGCTACACCAGGATCATTTCCATGTACTTAATAAAACCCAACAATTATCAATTACTATTTGTGTGGCACTCAGATTGTGATGGTAATGAGTGCCAAAAAAAAAAAAAGCCTATGAGGAAATCAATAATTCTGCTTACAGACCAAGGCATGAACAGTAAGAACAAGCAAAATGAATGCTGAGGTGCCTGGCTTAGTAATTAAAAAAAAATTAAAAAAAAATCACTTCATGAAGGTCACAATGAAACACGCTCTCCTGCTGCTTAATCTGGGTGTTTTCCATGTATTGCTTTAGAGAGCATGGAGTCAGGGGATGTTTGGATGCCCGCCTGGCTCATCTGCTCCTGACATACCCATCTCGGTATGTGCCTGAAGAGTGCAACGCAACGAATTTCCTACTGCTAGATTTCCTTACTAGCTAAATCACTTCTTGTCACAGTCTCCTGGGAAAATAACTGGCGTCCCAGGGGTAACACCCACTGCCAAGATGTGACCGATTATCATCCCAGCCACTCTGCTCGCACGGTTTATAAACACCGTCGTTGTCTCGGACCCGCTCGGACGCACTCTGGTGCTGTATGAACAGTCCCTTGCTTCAGTAAAGGAAAAAGGTGCCTGGTTCTTTTGTAGAAGCCAAGGAGCTCCACTTCATTTCTGGAGCGTGAGCCAGTGAACTCAGACTCCAAATGAGAGAAGGGACTTAAAAGACAACAAATGAAGGGACTTAAAGCTGAGCCTGAGCTGCAGAAGCTCCGATAACTTCTCTGGGCAGTTGTGTGGCGCAAGGCAAGAAACGCAAGATGCCTCACCCAGCTAAATAAAGTAAGGAGCAATGATGCTGCCCAGCCTGGAAGCTGTGGAAGTCGCTCCGACTGCCTGGTTTCACACAAGGGTAGGGTGTAGCTCCGCATCGTAGACATAAAGCATCGAAAACGCAGCTGTGATGCCAAATTTTCCAAGAATCACCAGGCCAACAGATAGGACATTGAAATCTGGAGGAGAAAAAATACAATCAAGGTGAATAAACAACACCCTGTGCTTATTGCTTGTGTTTCTTCTACATCCCAAAGATCATAGTGCTGTTTTTTTCCTAGCAGTTGTGGATTTGTTTGTTTGGTTTTTTTTTTAATTATGCAATGTGTTAGTCTCATCAGATGACTTGGCTCCAAACTTCCCACTGAGTATCATGTAGATGCTCAGGTTATTTTGTACTTCTCAGATTTTGGTCCTCTCCCAGTAAAACAGCATTCTTGAAATGGAGCAAAATTCCGGGGTTATACAACAGAGCAGAAGCTTGAATCCACCCCTTTTCCGCAAAAACCTGCGGAGATTTACACGCAGTGAAATCCGGAAGACCTGCAGGCTTTTTTAGCCTCTGTGCACAACCAGAAAAATCACAGTATGCCTCTGGCTCTCATTTTGCAAGCTGATTCCTCTGGACTATAAAAAGCTCAGTAATTTGACACAATAAATGAGAGCTGCACATGACTCAGCATATGCATATAAAAAAAACCCCAAAACATGGCTGCAAGTGACCAGCATAACCTTGACCTCAAGTTCTAAATTTGATCACGGTTTCCAGTAATTCTACAGAACTAGTAGATAGTACTATACAATATTGCTAACATTCTATATACGCAAGTCATGTATTGAATCCTGTACCTGCAGGCTCCAGCTGAATGAAGAGGACAACACCTTCCCCTAAAAACAAGGTGCCAGATACGGAGTGGCGCCGAGGGAGGGAGCGGAGGAGAAGCCAGGCAATCACATATGCTGGAACTGCAATAACAGCCGAGAGGAAGCAGTAGATGTAGGGATTTCCATGCCAGTTTGGAGTGCTGAGGGACAGGCCAAAGTAACCAACTGACGTGAAAAACCTGAGAAAAGCAAGAAAACCAAATTATTCCAGAAACACCTGTCTCTGAACGCCTCCACCGTTGCCTCAGATGTTGTTACAAAAATAGGATGTTGCAACGCATTGCCACAGGCATCGTGACTTACAGAAAACTCAGTGGCAACCCCATCTTTCTAATTCTGTCATCCCTTCCAGTGATCTTATCTGCAGCGGCTTGAAGAGACCTCTGATTTCTCTGTCCTTCCTGCATACACTGCACCAAGTAAAAGGCTTTGTGGAAGTCCTTCACCAAGGCTTTTCACTGCAATGGACTCATTAACGGCACAATGAAATAACTCCTGAAAGCTTCCCATGCCTACTACGTTCCTACTTGTAGCCAACTCCAGTGACCGGATCTCCCACCCTCAGCAGTTCCAACACACCTTATTTAATCTTCACAAGAGAGCTGGATGTTCGGGTCTCAAATCTCAAAAGTGCCTTACTATGGCATGCAAAGTGTGCTAGCCAGTTCCTCTCTCCTTGGGGAAATAAGCACAGAAAAGGGTCCCGGGTTGTCTGTGTGGTAATATTGGGTCCTCCGTCCTTGTGGCTGCCCAGCAGGTACCAGGATCTCACTGAGATGGGCGCTGTACAGAAATGGAACAAAAATGCTGGCCATGGGTCTGGTTCCTGTTACGTTAGTGAGTTGCTGCCTCGGCCTCAAGAAGGACATTTCTCTTCAAACAGAGATTATAGAGATGGGAACTTCTAAAAAAAAAAAAAAGGCAACAGAATTTAATATACAGAAGTTGTTACATATACTTTCCTGACTGTTTTACATCTGAGTCAAGGCTACTGTCTCCATATTCTTGTGTATTGATGCAGTGTGGGTGCAAGGACCTTCAGGGCCACGTACCAGCCAAGAACCATGAGTAGGTGGGCTCCGAGGCTGAGACTTATTATCTAAACCTATGACATGTGCCCTCAAAGCAGAAATTGTTTCATTGCCTGGGTACTTTAAGAACACACATTTCCTTACCACAAAAGTAATGACATAATAGTAATAGGTGCAATGTTTTGGTTTCGAAATAGGTCCAGAAGGAAAGCCGCCTGCTGGTGCTGAGGCTTCGAATCCTGCGTCTGAAGGAAAAAGGAAAGCAAAACCAAAAAAATTCCCACACACTTAAGAGCAAAACAACCTCTGCACACCCACGAGTTTGGGCAGTTATGAAGTTACGACTCTTATCGGGGGACAACTACCAGCCCAAGGGCCACTGCTGCACCAGGGAGGCCAGTCCTTCAGCAGAGCTGGGCTCGGCACCGAGCTGTAATCATGGTAGTTTCCAGTTTTTTGCTAGAAAAAGGGTAGCACTGAGACCACTGCACCACGCTGACTAATTATAAAGGAGTATCAGCTGACAAGAAAGACTCATTAATGGTTCCTAAAGGATCTAACACAGTACTTCCAGGAGTAACCATGTTACCAAAGGTATTTTCTGTGCACTGTCCACTCAACTCTCTTCTGTTCAACCTTCGCAAACTATGTGAAACAAATGCAGAAAATCCCCCAGGTTTGCTGCCTGCCTGCTGGGGAGGCAGACGGATGCCAGAGCTCAGCATGGTGTCCAGGGCACATTGCGAGAGCATCCACCTCCCCAGGTCAGAGACGGAGGGTCCAGTTTGAGGCTTGAAGCAGGAATCTTCTGGGTGGCATGAGGGTGCCCTTCATCCTGCACGGAGAGCCCTCACTGGGGCAAAGCCAGTGCTCGTGGCCTGGCTTCCCCCCAAGCCCAAAGAGCGAACCACCCTGGCCCTGCCTATGGGGCTACCCAGAAGATTTCCTTCCCTAGGAAGAGGATGGTTTCTGAGGAATGTATTTCTAGGCAACGTTTGAAAAATACTTCCAATGGAGGACTTGACGTGCAAACATCATCCTCCGGCTTTTGAGGACAGACGCTTTGGCACACGAGATTCCCAGGAAGCAAAGGACAGCTGAGCTGCCACTTGGTCTCAAAAATACGCAGGAATGATGAAAAGCAAACTCACATGCTAGAGCCTGAAAAAGTCATGTCCAGTATGAGAGACAACTTAATTGGTGCTGTGAAGTATGGAAAGTGCTTTTCCATGGTTTCTGTAGGATGAGCTTCCCATAGCTGGAACATGTGCTTGAATTTACCCTAGAACATACACTTGGAAAAAGAGACCTTCAGCAGCCCTGCCAAAATGTAAGCATGGCGTCCAAGAGGTGGATCCTGCCGACACAAGGTGTAGCACGCAACAGGTACCGCAGAGGAGCACGGGGTGCTTTGCTTTCTGCTCTGCCAGCAGACATCAGGAGGCACAAACCGCCGGTGCTGGTATACTGCAGGGAAGGAAGATCCGACACGCAGACACGCGGTTATTGCTGAGGCAAGCGTCGAAGCTTTGCTGGTTTCTTTGCACGTGAAAAATGTCTGTGGCTCTTCGGTGGGAGCTCCAGCGAAGGCAAAGCCACTAGAGGGGGAGAGGAGCTCAGGAACCAGCTGGCCCATGGCTCCTCGCCTTGCTGCGCGGCCAGGCTTTCTCCAGGGAAGGAAGATCCGACACGCAGACACGCGGTTATTGCTGAGGCAAGCGTCGAAGCTTTGCTGGTTTCTTTGCACGTGAAAAATGTCTGTGGCTCTTCGGTGGGAGCTCCAGCGAAGGCAAAGCCACTAGAGGGGGAGAGGAGCTCAGGAACCAGCTGGCCCATGGCTCCTCGCCTTGCTGCGCGGCCAGGCTTTCTCTTTTTAACCAATAAATATGAAAAAAGAGGGAAGAAAAGGCCTGCCGTAGAGCTTGGTGTTCTTACTGCCTTCACTACAGTCACGCTTTTCAAGTGCCCTTTGAACACTCGGGTGATTTGACTTGTTTTGTGCAACCTGAGGAGTCCCTCAGGGCTCCGTGCTGCCCCGGCACACGTGGGTGCTGGTTTAGGGTCCCCTGCGCAGCCGCCCATGAAGGGCTGCTGTTAAACTGCAAACCCTAACGCTGCGCCAAGCCGAAATGGGGGCAAATGCATCTTCCTTGGGTCTTCTCAGTGCCCGAAGGATGAAGCTATCTGGGTCACCCTTGCTCTGAAAACCACAACCAACCACTGCTGAGGAAGCAAATTTCACTGTGAAAACCAACCAAACAAAAACTCCTCTGGCCTCTCACTCTGAACTCGCTCAGCCAGCGCTTACCTCACATCAACAGTCACGGCCAGCCTCTACGAGCTGCCGGTGCAAACCATTTCTCTGCTGGCATTTCCCAGCAAGTCAGCTGGCCAAAGGGGGAAACTGATGGCAAGTACCAGGATGTATGAAATGTGCCTCCGTGGTGTCGAAAATCACAGATGGGGCTGGAACGACATTTATTTTTGCAGCCTTTCAGATAATAACTTCTGCCTCCTTTTATCTTCTCTGGGAGATCAGCCACCGAGGGGATTCAGCAATGATCCTGCAATAAGTTTCAGAATAAATGACTCAACATTTTCACAAAAGTAGAAGGTTATTAAAAACACGTGTATTTTTTTTATGAGTTACGCTCTCATCCCACAGATTGCTTGCAGCAGGAGACAGGCAGCACAGAAGCATGCGGGCAACATAATTCATGGATTTGTCCCACTGGGATCGGTGGGAGAATGCAAATTTACAGGACGTGTTTATTCTCATGCTGAAGTAGATGCATGCCTGGGCACTTGTCCTGACTGGTTGTTTTTGAAGGAATAATTGATGTCCACCAGAAAAACCACAGATGTCACCAGATAGACGGCAGAGATGGGGGTAGCTTAACCAGTGTTGAGCAAAAATATTCTTAGGAAACTGCACACAATGTGGAAATGCTTTAAATACGCACAGGGTATAATTAAAGGCACTCTGGCACAGGAATTGTTGGGAACAAAATTCACGTTTATTTTTTGAAACAGCAGGCTGGAATGTTGGACCAGCACATCACGGGCTGTAGGACACAACCAGGGAAGACGATGCTACAATTCTCTGCAGAAAAGAGGGTGGCAGAAGGGACAACACAAGGGATAAAGTGTCAGCAAACTGCAGCCGTGCAATTAAATGAACCTCACGTTGCTTCAGGAGACCCAGTCCTACCTCTCAGCAGAGGGGACACTTGGCCAGTGGGGTGCTCCGGACCCCCCACCAGCTTTGCTTTTGCCGAGCACCGAGGCAGCATCCCAACCCACCTCCATCTGTGCCCCACGTTCCCGGGGAGCTGCGGAGCTGAATTCCTGCCTGATCAGATCCCACATCCCCATTAGAGGGACTCTGCCACGCAAACCCCACGCGCTTCCAAGAGGATTTTCAGCCAGCCCAGTGCTCCTGACCCGGCGCCGTACCTCGCAGCCGCTCCGGCTCCATCAGCTCCGCACCAGGGCTAACTACCAGGACAGAGGGAGCAGTGGCAATGGTGATGGTGGTGGCAATGGCAAGGGACCTCTTCGCTGACAGCCTGACCTACTTAATCCTCCCTCCGCCACTCGCAGCGGTGACACACGGCTCCCTGGGGACACGATGCCGTATCCCCTCCATAGCACTGACTTCATATCATGTTCTGCTCTATTTTTTCCCTGTTAAAACCCCATGTGGTAGGAAAGAACAGCGTTAACTATTAGTATATGGTTTTAATTTAGGCTAGCTCACGTTACGATCTACAAGCATAACTTTGACATCATTGGTTCAAAAGCTGACATTAATGTACATGTGCACACTTAAAGACAGCTCTTGCAAATCCCAGCTGCCCCCCAAGGCCTGCGCCCGTCAGCCCCGTAACTGACCCGTGCATTCGCCTTTCCTGATACCCCTGTGCTAGCAGGAGACTCAGCAGGGTCCCCTTCCCTTCCCCATGGGGGTCCCCCCTTCCCCACGGGGTCCGCAGGCAGCGACTGCAGCCGTGCAGCCTCCTGTGGCCACTAGCTCTTTCTCCCCAGTCTCACCATAGAAAATAAAACAAACCTTGGCCTCTAAAATTAGGCACTAGATCGCTAGCCTCAGCACCGAGACCGGTGACTTTATGGCCAACGGGGCTCTGACGCCCACCTGGCTCCTCCACCCTGGCCCCCCATGCCCTCGCTGTGCCTGGAAACGCTGGTTTGCTCCACGGCTTTGCAGCCAGGTACGCACCGACCCCTCTGCCAAGGGGTGGAGAGGCAGGGAGGAACCCGAACGCCTTCTCTGTCTCAGACCTGCTTCTTCTGATAACAGACCCTGAATGCTGCCTTGAACTTCTCCAAAGAGGAGGGAAATGGAGGTTTATTTAGAGGTTTCCTCCCCTCATCTTTTTCTCTAAACCTACAGAAAGCATAGGCTCAAAGTGTCCAAGAGCACAAAAGTCATACTGGCCTGAAACAGGAACTGTACCATCAAGGCTTTACCGCTGTCTAATTAAATGATGCAGTTTCAGAGGAAAAAAACCAAAACAGTACATTAAGTGCTTGCTTAATGTAATGCAGACATATTCATACCCAGTATGAAGGCCACCACGTAGTTAGAGATCTGTCCCATCCCCACTATGAGGAAGAGCACTGTGAACATCTCCCAGCTGGTGGAGAAGATCTGCAGGAAGCTGAAGCCAGTCTGCACAGCCATCGTCGAAAAGAGGACACTCTTCCTGCCAAACATTTTGCGAAAGAGAAAGGAGATGATTATTGAAACAGTGTTTATGTACAGAGCAGGGCTCTATAAGAGCACAAATATCCAACCTTGAGAGATGCAGCTTAGAACAACCTGAAGTGTCATTCATTTTAAAGAATTTTGTTTATCATTTTCATAGGCATCAAGAAAAAAAAAAGAAGTAAGATTTCTGAGACCCAGGAAACAAATCAAGAAGAAAAATCAAGAGCAGGAACTTCAGGGAGCCACTAGACAGGGACTAAAAAACTAGACAACAGTACCTAAGCGAGAGACACCTGAAGATTGCAAGCCACGCAGCCAGAGGTTAGGAAACGATGGCATTTAGGCTACTGGTATCTACACATTGCAACACCACTACACTTCGAATCTGTTCAATAGCCTTATCAGCTGGTTTCGGTCTCTCTGAGTTGCCATACATATTGCATTCTCTCACGCGCTTCTCTACAGTAGAAGTTCACAGCATTTTCTCATGGGAAGGTAAGAGCCAGCTGACGTAGCAGCGTGCACGCCGGCGTGCAGGTCGGGGAACGCTGCCCTCTGCACGGACGCTGGACGGGCCGCATCGCCAGATGCCGCAGCAGCCCTTGCCTTAGGAAAGGTTTCTGCAGCAGCTCAGGGGAAATCGCTCGGGTGCAGGCTCAGAACATACCCCTCTACTGAGAAACCGTTTCCAAACAAATTCAGTGAACAGCTAATGATGGAAGGTGACCGGGCTGCCGGGGCGTGCACGCTCTCTCAGATGCTCCCCGTGGGCACACGGCACCAGCGGGATTTAGTGATTATCTCGTCTCCCTTGCAAACCATAACACCAACTGACTTCTGCACTGGGGGCAGGAGTCAGGAGATTAAATTCAGAATACATGGAATTTAATGCTGGAGGCTTTGGGATTAAGACTCCCACCGAGTTTTGCAACCCCTCTGCTAAACATGCAGAGGAGCACTGCTGCTCTTGGCTTCCTCATGGACAGGCAGCAGCCAGAGCAGTGCTGGAGACCCCGCTGTAATGGTACGGCGAGAAAGGCGAAGGGATGGATGCAGAGGGAAGCAGAGACTTGCAGAAGGAACGTATGTCCTGCATTCGACACTTGTAAGGCCAAAACTTAAATACTGCTGAGATAATTGTCAAGTGCCTGTAATGTTTTCTTTATACTTTGCACCTGCTTAGATGGTGTGACATGACTGCTATCCATGTACAATTTATCTTTTCTTCTGCCAGTTCGATATGCTTTATTTCTAACAAACCACCTCTTCCATGCAGAGCTTCCACCCAAAGGACAAGTTTCTATCCTGCAGCTCCGAGAACGGACTGTTAGTTATTGTGTGACAAAAAACAAGATCTTTTGAAACACTAAAAAGGCTGGATAAAGAAACAAACCTGGCTGTGAAGTGAAAACCAGCACAGCAATCTGCAAAGGAGCTGCAGGGGCTCCTTGCAGAGATCAGCTCTTGGTCTCCTGAAGCGCCCAAGAAGCAGCAGTCCCACACCTGGGGCAGGTCAAGGTTGGGATTTCTGAAGAAGCCAAGCCAGTTACCTAATTTTGATCAAAACTCAGAGAACTGGACATTTAACTCCCTTACGCCTCTTAAGAAGGAACGCAGCAGCCGTGGCACTGGGTCTGCCATGCTCTGCCCATGGGCAGAAGGGGAGCAGCGGCGTTACCCGTCCAAGAGCTGCCCTGAGACGAAGGAGCAGATGAGGACGCCCATGAAGAAGAGGGAGGTGGTCAGTGGGGCTTTCCAGTTGTCCTCGCACACCAGGTTCCACTGCAAGAGAAGAGCCTGCGCTCCGCCGCAGCCGCAACGCCGCGTCGAGCCTCGTCCAGGCGCAGGGGTTATTGGCTGGAGACGCACAACTTTCCGTGTAATTTAATTTAGTTTCCCCACACCCATGTTTCCACCCGTCGCTGGCACCAGCACTATGTCCACAGCGAGGGTCACTGCCAAGACGCCCTGCTTAAAGCATAAAAAAAGGGAAAGCAGTCACCTCCCCAGGCAAGCTCCATCGGGCCAGAGCCCCCCAAAACACCGGCAGCCATCTGATGGGCCCCCATCACATCTCAAGCAGGTGAGCGGTGATGCCAAACCCGATGCTGCCAGGGTGTGCAGCCTGGCCCCGTGTCCAGCACGAGCTCCCCACCACGTGCCCTGCAGACCCCTCCAACACCCGGGACCCCATGGCCCGAGATGCTCCCTGCCAGAAAAGCAGAGTGATGGAGAGGGGTGAAGGCCTGCCCGGTCCCTGGCTAGGGACAGTTTCCAGTTTACCTGACCTCTGCCAGCACAAAACTCTCTGCATTTCTAGAACTTCTGAGGTTCATGTGCAAGACAACGCACAGAATGAAATCTCTTTTCCCGTGCTGACATTTTTCCAAACTCCTTTCCATCCCCACAACCTGCGGGGCTGACTCGCTGCCCATCGCTCAGCCTCGCGACCGGACCCGCCTGGGGCTGGAGGCTTAAGCGAAGAG